GTTGGGACATCGCCACGATGACGGTGAAGGAGGCGCTGGCGAGCTGGAAGGGTCCGGCGGTGAAGGCCGCCATGGAGGAGGAGATCCGTAGCCTCATTCGCATGGGCACTTGGGAGCTAGTCGAACGCCCACGCGGAGTGAACATCATGAAGAACCGATGGGTGCTGACGACCAAGTACTGCATCGATGACACCGTTGAGCGCGAGAAGGCGAGGCTAGTCGTGAAGGGCTTCACGCAGGTGTATGGCGCCGGCTACGACGAGACGTACTCGCCAGTGAGCAGCTACGTCACGCTGAGGATCTTCCTCAGCATCGTCGCCGTCCTCAACCTCAACCTGATGCAGCTCGACATGAAGAACGCTTTCCTTCAGAGCAAACTCGACAGGGTGCTCTACATGTACCAGCCGGACTACTTCGACGATGGGACCGGCCGGGTGTGTAAGCTGCTGAAGAGCCTCTACGGGCTGAAGCAGTCGCTGCTGCTGTTGTACAGGGCTCTCGACGGGGTGCTGCTGGGTGCAGGTTGGAAGAAAAGTCAGGTCGACGAGGCGCTCTACTTCAAGACCGGCGATGACGGAGTGACCTGCTGGGTGCTAGTCTATGTCGACGACCTGCTCGCCGCCAGCAGCAGCACCGCGATGCTGAAGGAGTTGAAGGAGCTGCTGGAGGCCGCCTTCGAGTTGCGGGAGATCTCGCCGGTGGTGAAGTACCTTGGGCTGGAGATCGTCCGAGACAGACCAGCAAGGAAGCTGTGGCTGCACCAGCAGGGCTACGCCGACAAGCTGCGCAGGCGCTTCATCGACGAGGAACAGGGCGGTCGAATTCCGAAGACGCCGGTCTCGGTCGACGCCTACGCCGAGCTGACGTTCGACGACGATGAGGCGCAGGAGCGCGAGGAGGAGGAGAACCGGCAGAAGGTCGGATCGCTGCAGTTCGCGGCGACGACGACAAGGCCGGACATCGCGTTCGCCTGCAGCAAGCTGGGGAGCGGCCTCACGGTGAGGAGCGACCAGCATTGGCGCGAGGTCGACCGCTGCCTCGCCTACCTCGCCGACACCCGCGACACCGCCTTGGAGTTCGGCGGTGGACCAGAGTCGCTGGAGCTGATCGGCTATGTGGATGTCGACGACGCGGGCGACAAGCAGAAGCGGACGAGCACGGGCGGCTACGTGTTCGTCTACGGAGGGGCCGCTGTCTCCTGGTCGAGCTCGCGCATCAAGTGCGCGACGCTCTCCTCGACCGAGTCGGAGTACGTTGCGGCCACGGATGCCGGCAAGGAGGGGCGTGGACTTCGCTTCCTCCTTGCAGAGTTCAAGCTGCTCGACCCTGGGAAGCCGACTGTCCTCCGGGTGGACAACAAGTCGGCGTTCACTGTCGCTGAGGGCATGGGGCTAATGGGCAACCTCAAGCACATGGAGCGACGCTACGCCTGGCTCCAGCACATGGTGAGGCGCGGGAAGTTCGCGCTGAAGTACATCCCGACCACCGAGCAGCCGGCCGATTTCCTGACGAAGGCGCTGCATTTTCCGGCTTTCAACCGGTGCTCTGTCACCATCGGCCAAGTTCGCCTAGCCGACGTCGGCGACGGCGACGATGAGGTGCAGCAGTAGGTGCCGTGCCCTTCTGCACGGCTGGTGCGGTGATGGCGTGCTGTGTGTGGGGTGCACGCCGACGACAAGTTTTCTCCGTAAAGTACTGCCGTGTGGGCTGGAGGCCCAAGCGTGAGCGCGGCAGGGGAGTGTTAACGGGAATGGAGTGTTGGCCCCGCCCTCGCTTGGGCAAAACGCCGACGACTTGGTCGGATGTACGGGAGTAGCAGCTGACCGTCCACAGTGGGAGAGCTGCTGGACAGGCTACGTCGAGCTGCAGGGGACCGCTGTGGCGTTGCTGTCGACCAGGGAGCTCGACAGCTGTAACTGACTGGCCCGGGCGACGGGTGGGCCGTTCGGGAGGTCGACGTAGCATCCCGTCAACCTACAGCTCGACGGGGAGGTCTGCGGAGCATCCCGTCGACCTACAGCTCGACGGGGAGCTCTCCGGAGCATCCCGTCGACCTACAGCTCGACGGGGAGGTCTGCGGAGCATCCTGTCGACCTGCAGATCGACCGGGAGGTCGACGGACCAGTTCTGGTCGACGGAAGGGGTTCGTCGACCTGGGGGATGCTCGACGGGGGCTACGGTCGACCAGAGTACATGGTGCTTGACAGGAGGCACCTTTCGGTCGACCAGAAGCACCTGGGGGTCGACAGAATGACCTGATGGTCGACCGGAGGCACCTGGTGGTCGACTAGGAGTATCTGGTGGTGTCCAGGTCGACCAGGTAACCTGCTCGACAAGTTCTGCGGAGGCACGCGAACGTCGTCGAGGTCGCGATGGCGAAGGTGACTGCGGGCTGGTATCCCGAAGTCGATGTGGCTCGTCAGGCGCAGACAACAGCCGACGGATGCACAGCAATGCAAGTCGGGCCAATCGTCTGTGCGCACCTGCGAGCGTGCGCACTGCTGTCCTCTACAGGGCAACGCTGGACTGCCGCACAGCTGCAGCGTTGGCACGCCGTCGACCTGCAGTGTTGGCAGGTCGCTCTTCTGCAGTGCTGGCGCGGCTCCTCTACGCAACGCTGGCAGGCGGTCGACCATGCAGTGCTGGCGGTCGACCAGGCTAGCTCCAGAGTTGCTAGGTGCCTGATGTAGTCATTCTGTCATTGCTTGTTCGATTATTCTGTAATTCCAACTTTGCCTAGTGAAACTCTTGCCGATTTCTCCTGTGTATGCGCAAGCGCTAAGGAACTAAGCAAAGCTACGATCACTCATAGTAGTTTGTGCCTACTCCGTAGTCTAGCTCACTACTGTTGTAGAGTGAATCTTCGCAAACCCTTCCCTAGGATCAATCGGGGATCACCAGTGGACCTCTGACACTGTGATCTGTCTTATATACCTGCATACCTTTACTTGCTAGGTAGTGATCCCTGTACTGCTTGTTGCTGCATATATATCTCTGCATGTGAACTGACCTTGTGGCCCTTGCTTGTGCTGAGAGTGTGTGGTGACGTTGTGATCCATCCTGAGTTTGTTTTGTTTCTCTTGACTGGTCTTGTGACCCCTTGTTCTCCCCCACTTTGCCTATGGGGATGTGTCAAACTGTTTAATTGTTTAGGCTGTAGTGGGGTAGCCCATATAGGGTGCAACCCTTCTAGGGTTTGCTTATGTACCAACTCCTTGCTTAGTTATTTCCTTCCTGCAAATTCTGACACATTCTTGATACGAGGTTTCCTGATATGAGGTCGTAGGAACACACCCTTAGAGGGAGATTTGCCCGTGTAAGAAGTAGCGAGGGTGGTTCTGATAGTCCCATTCTGACTGGATTTTTGGAGCATTCCGTATCCCAGTCGGACTGGAAAGGTTTGGTGTTCTTCTATCGATTTGGTGTGCTCTGAACCTGTCCAAAAGAATTCGTTTGGACTTTCGCGATCGGGCTGGAGTGCCTCCCGAACAGCGCCCTCGATTTCACTAGAATATTACCAACCCTCCAGACTCCGACTGGGCGACCGAACGCTCCAAAAATCCAGTCAGGGTGGAACATTTAGATCCACCCTTGCTGTTTCTCACAGGCAAAGCTTACTCCGACCGCTCCGATTGTAGTCCAGGGTCAGAGGGGGAGTGCAATAGACTCCAGTCCGACTGGGGAGTGGGGCGTCGCAAGTTTGGAAGGGAAATCGAGCCCTCGCTCGTACCTCGGAAACTGCTATGCAGTTTCTCCAGTCTGATCAGGCCCAGTCGGACAGGAGTGCCTCTTGAACAACGCCTTCGTATCTACTTTGAAACCATGTTCTAGATATTCGTTTACTTGTTTACTATTTTTGCACTGAAAGCGAAGAGTGCCTGCTCGAAACGAAAAGAGAGACCGTCACCTGGTCGAAAGACATGAACGAGGGACCCGCCGCACGCAACGGTGTCTGTTTGAACAGATACCACCATCACAACAGCGGAACCTGGAAATCGCAGCTGCAATGCGACATGCGGCTCGGCGAGCATTCAAACCTAACCAGCCGCCGTCGCCCATCCTTTCCCCCCTCCAAGTGCCACCACACCACCACCCACCATCTTTCCGCCCAAGATGTGTCCTTGTTCCCTCCCACCTACGCATATGCGCCCTGCCTCTTCCCCGTTCCACCATTTCTCTCCAAGTCGTGCTATGTCTTCTGCCTTCGTTACTGCTCTTACACCTTCGCAAAGCCTCTAGCTAGTTTAGGTTGCCGTGCAAGATTCTCAGCCAACCAGCAGCGTGAATTTCTCACCTTCGCCTTGCTGGACTCGGCAGAAACTATTCCAGTCCAGGCGATTCGTAGTAGTGACTTGGTTGTACCACCAATGCCCCTCGTCACGCCTCCCCCTGTTGTCGCCTGCGATTGCAAGCGCGCCGTACTAATAACAACCACTACTATGGCTGTTCATTCCCGCGAATGGCGCCTGGTCAGAACGCGCCTCGTACTCCGAGCGCACCCCTTCCGTCAATCTGGTTCCGCTAAGCCCTCCTCCGCAGTAGACACTCCTGGCCTCCCGTCAACCAAGTCAGCGCTCCGAACGTGGGGAGACCCTGATGTTGCCGCTAGTACTCACCGTCGCTTACCACCAAACACGTACCACAATTCACTCAAATCCCCTCCACATCTCGCCCACAAAACCCGTGCAACAACGCCCATAATTTTTAGTAGTAATACAAGCCGCGCCAGTAGTGCTCGAGATGGTATTTGCAGTGATACTTGCCCTTTTCCAATCTTAATCTCCGATACCTACTAGGTATGAGCACACTCCCATTCTTCGAGTACTCCATATTTCGCATTCTCCCACTCTCACACGCCATCATGACGTCATTCCCTCGCGCCCCCCCCCCCCCCCCTCTTCCTCATAACCCTCTTCGCCCTCCTCGCGCGCATCGCCGTCCTCCGCCCCGCGGAAGCCTACACCGAGCCGCCGCCGAGCCCCACAGGGTGCGTCGTGAAGATGGCGGAGAGCGACCAGGAAGCCATGCGCGCGGTGTACGCAGCGCTGCCCAGGTGGGTGTTCTTCTGGCATGACAGTAATTCGCCGAGCGAGCTGTTCGAGATGGGCGGCAACCTCACCTACAAGTGCTGCGTCACGCCCATACCCTCGTCGTGCCACCTTTGGTGCCCCATCGAGTGCACGTCCGCCGGCCGCATCACCAGCATATTCTCCGATCCCAGCCGCGAGGACATGCCCGGGCCCGCCGGGGTTCAGGGAGGGAGCTGCCCGCCCGGCGCGCTGTCTCCCGCAATTGGCGACCTCGAGGAGCTCTCCGTGCTGATATTGCGCCATTCGTGCCTCGCCGGCGACCTGCCGGACTCCGTCACGCGCCTCCAGAAGCTGACGGAACTCGACATGCCCGATAACAGCTTCTCCGGCCCCATTCCTCCCGGGCTCTTCGGCCTGCCCGCGCTCCGCCACGTGGATCTGAGCACCACCATTGGCAGCGGCCTTTCAGGGCCCCTTCCCGACGGGCCCGACGCGTACTCCCCGTCCCTGGAAACAGTTCGCCTTTCCGCACACAACATCTCGGGGGAACTTCCGCACGCGATTTTCCGTGCGCCTGCGCTGCGCGAGTTGCGCCTCGAGGGCAACAACCTCACGGGGGAGCTCCCGGGGGAGGCGGGGGCGTACTCGCGAAGCATCGTCGCGCTCTCCCTGCGCAGTAACGGGTTGACTGGCGGCATTCCGACCGCGCTGGCGGAGATGACGGCGCTGACGAAGCTCGACCTGGGGGACAACGGCCTGTCCGGAGACATCGGCGCGCTATTCCCTTCTGCTGCTGCCACCGCTACTCCTGACGCTGCTGCGTCAGCTGGTCTCCGCGCGGCGTTTCCGCTGCTCCACTTCCTGGACGTCAGCAGCAACCAGTTCTCTGGCGACGCGGCCGCGCTCGCGCCGCTCCCGCGCGGCCTGAGCCACTTGAACGCGTCGCGCAACAACCTCACGTGGAGCGCCGGCAGCACCTTCTTCGTGACCGTCGTGGACCTCTCGCACAACCGCATCGCCGGCGCGTTGGCGGAAGTCATGCGCGACGTGAGCGCGAGCGTGCTGCTTCTGGCGCACAACGAGCTGTCGGGGAGCATCCCCGCGGACCTGCTTCCCTCCGTGCGCGACGAGCTCGACCTCTCGCACAACCTTCTCTCCGGCGCCATTCCGCACCTCTGCGGCCCCGGCACGCGCATCGACCTCTCGCACAACCTGCTCTCTAGCACCTTTCCCTCCCTCTGCGGCCCTGACAACCACTACTACGAATGCAGCACGGACATCGACCTGTCGCACAACAACCTCACGGGCGAGCTCCCGCGCGCCGCGGACGCGTACCAGGTCAACATCGGGTCGCTCTCGCTGCGCGCCAACGACCTGTCCGGCGCGATTCCGCCGGCGCTGGCGGAGACGATGCGCTGGCTAACGCACCTGGACCTGGGGGAGAACCGCCTGTCGGGCGCGCCCACGGCGCTCGCGTCGCTGCGTGATCTGGACGTCGTGCGCCTCGACGGCAACGCGCTGAGCGGGCCGTTCTGCGACGCGCTGCTGCCCGCGCGCGAGCTCTGGCTGGGCTTCAACACCTTTGGCGGCGCCAACGCGGACGCGGAAGGCGATCTGCACTGGTGCGTGATACCCGCGAAGGTGGAGGTGCTAAGCGCGCCGCACGCGGGGCTGAGAGGGAGCGTTCCGGGCGACCTGTTCATGCGCGTGGACGAGCAGTGGGGGCGCGTTGTCATGGGGTCGCCACCATTTGTGTTGCAAACGCAGAGCTTGCATGTGAATCTCAGCCACAACAGCCTCACGGGCACCCTGAAAGCTTTCTCTGTGATCCGCAACGGGAGCCTGGACGTGTCGCACAACAATTTCACGGGCAGCATTCCGGACGGGTTGTTCCGCCTCGCGAGTACAGGGGGGCTGGAGCGCGGGAGCGAGGAGAGCAGGTGGGGGCTGGAGCGAGAGCGAGCGGTGGTGGACGTGCAGTTCAACGAGCTGTCAGGGCCGCTGTTTGACACGCGCAGGCCCGCCGGCGAGTGGCCGTCCTACTGGAACAAGCTGCGAGTGAGCGGCAACAGCGCTGCCATGAAGGGCGCCGTGGGCGCGGGGTACCTCCCCGCGCCGTCGCCTGGCGTGCAGGCGTCCGCTGCGGAGACTGAGGCTCTGCTGGCCGTGCGCGATGCACTCCTGGGGGGAGCAGCGGGGGGAGCAGGTGGGGCAGCAGAGGCGGTAGCACTGGTGAAGGGCGGAAACAGCTCGTGGGCGGTGATACTGAGCAGCTGGGATGCGAGCAGCAGCAGCAGCAGCAGCGGTAGTGCGTGTGAGTGGTACGGCGTGGGGTGCACAGCAGACGGGCACGTGCACACGCTGCACCTGCTGGGTGATGCCACGGTCGCACTGCACCCCAACGTGCTCCCGCACATGCCCGACTGTGAGAAAGGCCAGTACGGGGAGTTTTCATGCACCTTCGAGCCCCCGCCACCTCCCCGCACCGCGTGGTTCTTCCTGCAGGGCCTGCGTGCGGGAAGCGGGAGCGGGAGCGGGAGTGCGAGTGCGAGTCTGTCGGAGGCGTTGGGGCAGCTGACTCAGCTGACGTCGCTACGCATCTCCGGTCACGCCCTCTCCGGCGCCCTGCCGCAGTCCCTCTCGCGCCTCTCGCACCTCGTCGCTCTCGACCTCTCCTCCAACCGCCACCTTTCCGGCTCCATCCCCCCCACCCTCTTCACTCTCCCCTCACTGCGAGAGCTCACCCTCCGCGGGAACAACCTCACGGGAGCAGCCCTCCCAAACATCACCGCAGCAGCAGCAGCAACGCTGCCAGTGCCGGGTTTGGAGAGTCTAGACGTGGGGGGGAACGCTCTGTCGGGGTCCATTCCAGCGCAGGTGAGTCTTCTGACGGGGCTGACGCGCCTGGCGCTGGACCACAACCGGCTGGACGGAAGCTTGCCACGGGAGCTCGGCGCGCTCTGGATGCTCCGAGACCTTCAGCTGCAGGGGAACGCCCTCCGGGGCGGGCTTCTTGACATCACCACTGTTATCGATGCACCTGCCAGGGCTGAGCTGCGGAGCCTGACCAAAGTGTTCCCGCTACTCGACTCCCTGGACGTCAGCAGCAACCAGCTCTCGGGCGATGCCGCTGTGCTCTTCTTTCCGGAGGGAAATGAGAGAGAGTACCAGCTCAAGCACCCCTTCCCGCGCATGCGCTACCTGAATGCGTCGCACAACAACCTCACAACCGAATTCAGGCTGAACGTGGAGATGATTGCATCCGTGGTGGACCTCTCCCACAACCAGATCCGCGGCCGGCCGTATGAGGTATTTGGCGTGGCCTTCTGGCAGGAGGCGTTCATAGATGTGTTGCGCCTGTCGCACAACCAGCTGTCAGGGAATGTGCCCATTGACCTGTTGCAACAAGTGGGTGGAGAGCTAGATCTCTCCCACAACCAGCTCACCGGCACGCTGGACGACATAGTTGATGATTATTTTTGGAGGCATGCGTTCATGGATGTGCTGCGCCTGTCACACAATCAACTGTCGGGGAATGTGACCTCGTATTTGCTGACAGCGGTGGGCGTAGAGCTGGACCTCTCCCACAACCACCTCACCGGCACGCTGTCGGCACTGAATCCCGCAATGACCGCCGTCAACTTCTCCCACAACAACTTCTCTGGCGCCATCCCGCCTCTCAGTGGTGCCCTGGAGACGTGTGACTTGTCGCACAACCAGCTGGAAGGGGCAATCCCCCCGCTGGGACCGAGAATGGTGCATGTGAACGTGAGCTGGAACAACCTTACTGGGCTTAACGCGTCAGTGCTTCTCCAGGATGCGAGTGCGCTGCGCAGCCTGGACGTATCTCATAACGCCATCACTGGGGGGCTGCCCGCTCTGGCTGACGGCAGCAGCAGTGGGCTCGCGGGCCTCACCTATCTCGTCCTCTCCTTCAACTCCTTCTCTGGCGCCCTTGCACAACACCACCTCCCGTTCCCAACCACAGCCGCATGCAGTACGGTGCAGAGCGGTGCAGAGGTGCGGGTGAGCCACAATGCACTGACAGGGAGCATCCCTGATGCTGTCTTCTCCCCGTGCCTCTCCCTGCTGGACCTCTCCCACAACCAGCTCTCCGGCTCCATCCCCGATGCTCTCACCACCAGCCTCACTGCTCTAACTCACCTCAGCCTCTCCCACAACCAGCTCACTGGCTCCATCCTTCCTCTCTCTGCCTGCCCTCGCTGCACTCACGTGGACCTCTCTTACAACCCCCTCTCCGGTGCCATTCCTGACCTACTCCAGGGCACCAATCAGAGCGGCCTCCTTCTCCCTCTTTCCCACTTGGACCTTTCTTCCAACCAGCTCACACGACCCATCCCCAATGCTCTCACCACCAACCTCACTGGTCTAACTCACCTGAACCTCTCCCACAACCAGCTCTCCGGCTCGCTCCTGCCTGTGGCTGCCTGCTCTCGCTGCACTCACGTGGACCTCTCTTACAACCTCCTCTCCGATGCCATTCCCCCCCTCCTCGCCTCCTCGTCTTCCCCTCTCGCCCACCTCAACCTCCGCAGCAACCTGCTCTCAGGCTCGTTGCCGCGCTCCCTCACCCTCGCCCCTTCGCTCAAACACCTGGACCTCTCAAGCAACAAGCTCAAAGGCTCCCTGCCTGCCTTCTGCCAGGGCAAGCAGCGCCTTGCCTCTCTCCTCCTCTCCTCCAACGCTTTCTCCGACCCCCTCTCCTCCCCTCCTCCCCTCCTCCTCCTCCTGCGCCTCCTCCCTCCTCTCCCTCAACGTCTCCACCAACCAGCTCTCCGGCTCGCTCCCCTCGTCCCTCTCGCGCTTCACCACTCTGCACTCCTTGCAGACGTCGCGCAACCACATGAGTGGTAGCATCCCTGCAGGGCTGGCGTCCCTGACGGCTTTGCAGGAGCTGGATGTGTCGTGGAGCGGGCTGTCAGGCACCATCCCTGCGCTGCTGCGTGCTGCTGCCCCCTCCCTGCAAGTGCAGCTCGCTGGCAACACCCTCTCTGGCTCCGTCCCCCCCTCCCTCTCTGACCTGCCGGCTTCCTGCTTCCTCCCCGGCAACCCCAAGCTCTGTGGGAAACCCCTGCGTGACTGCAAAAAGACCTCCACCAAGCCAAGGAAGGGTAGGGTGTAGTGACTGATGGCAGGAAGGTGACCTTGAGAGTGATTCCTGCTGTTGTACTCATGCCTGTAAAAATATTCTAACGAATTTGGTTGAGGTTTTCCCCAGACAGTGTTTGCTACTTCCGTAGTACAATACACCCCCCCCCCCCCCCCCCCCCAAGAAGGAATGTCCCTCTCACACTGGCAGGATAGGACCCTTCGTTGTCTGTTGATATTATGAGGACCCCCTTGTCTGTATACAGTTGTGCGTCGCGTCAGGCTTAAGAGGGAGAAAATCGAATTCTGATGCGGCTGTTGTGACAGAATCGATTTTTTTACACATCCAACGTGCCAGATTTTCGATCCTGCGTGCCAATTGCGGGAGTTCAGCACAAATTGGGAACTTGCCTCCCATGCAGCATGTTTTAAGAACCTCGTTCTTTCCCTGTATCCCTCACCTCCTGCTCCTACTGTGCCCAAGCCTGGTGTCTATGTGGCTCCTCTGCCATCTCTCTCTTGGCATTTGGTGATGATGGCAAGTTCTCTCTCGCTGCTGCTTGTTTGAAGAAAGTCACTGCTGCTGAATATTCATAGCTTCTTTTGAGATACAGTAGTGCAGCTATGGAGGTAGCAGGGAAGTGGAATGAGAGGAGAAAATAACTAAGCAAGAAGCTGCCATGACATGACAGTCAGAATAAGAACAGCGGGATGAATGAAATATGCAACAGTGAGATACAGTACAAGTAGTAAACCCTAATTGGGTTATCCCCCCTAGAGTGAACCTCACTATAGCCTACAACCTAACATCTACAAAGTTTTACACACCCCCATAGGCAAACTGAGGGATGGCCAACACAACAAACGGTCACATGACCAGTTAAGCGAAGAAGCAAAGCAAAGTTGAGGGTGGATCTCAAGATCACCATGCAGTATGAGCACAAGCAAGCGGCCACAAGGCCAGTTCACTTGCTAAATTATAAAACTACAAAAAATATCAGAAGTCTAGGAAGGAATGAATGTAGAAACATGAAAGAGGGGGTTCACTAGCAGGCAGTTGAGTACATATAGGAAACCCTAATTTGGGCTATACTCGCTATAGAGTACCCCACTTCAGGCTAGACAAATATCACATTCTGACATACCCCCATAGTCAAAGTGGGGTATAATCAGCACAACAAGCAGGCAGAGCAATAAAGCAAAACTAGAGGCTATCACAAAGGGCAAGTGAGGAGTGTCAGAATCACAAGTGTTGTTTCATTGATGGTGGTTGGGGTACAAGTAGCAAACCCTAACATACGTAACCCCTAAGACAAACCTCACTACAGGCTACCAACATTTGACACACCCCCATAGCCTAAGTGAGGGGTGTCTAGCAAAACCAAAAGAGTACGGTCATAAGACCAGTCACAAAGAAACAAAGCTCAGGGTGGATCACAACGTCACCACAAACTCTGAGCACAAGCAACAATGGCCACAAGGCCAGTCCAAGCAATAACAGAGATATATAGAAAAGGTACAAGCAAAGCAAATAGTGAACTCAAGACTAAGCCAAAAACCAGTGTCAACAAGGCCTAACTGCACATAACACCTGTGATGGTTACAAGGCGGAAGCGCCTTGGTGAAGATGTCTGCAGTGTTGGCCTCGGACTCCACAAACTCAAAGCGAGCCTGTCCACGCCTCTGCAACTCTCGAAGAAGGAAGTACCTGACGTTAATGTGCTTCACTCTGCTCTCCAGTCGCGGCTCTCGACAAAGGAGAATGGATGCCTTGTTGTCAGTGAACAAGGTCGGTGCAGAGCTCGACCGCTCACCCAGGTCGGCGAGCAAGAACGTCAACCAACGCAGCTCCTGTGCCGCCATGGCACCAGCGTAGATCTCAGCCTCAGCTGTAGAGGTCGAGACCGAAGAGGAGCGCGTGGACCGCCAGGAAACAGCTCCAGAACCCAGACTGAAACAGTACCCCTGAGTAGACATGTGAGTCTCAGTGTCGTCACCGTAAGAAGAGTCACAGTGACCAGTAAGTACAACAGATTGCTGCCCTCCAAGAACTAGCCCCACGCCTGATGTCGTCGCTAGGTACTTCGCCACCCTCACAGCTACTGTCCAGTGAACAGGACGGTGTCTCCCTGGCGCAACAAAGCGCGCAAGGATGCTGAGAGGGAAAGCGAGGTCCAGGCGAGTACAAGTCATCAGGTACATGAGGCAACCCACAAGATCTGCGTAGGGACCACTAGGCTCAAACGGCTCGTCAGGAAAGGGGCCAGTGAGTCTGTGGTTAACAGCAAGAGGTGTGCGCTGTACTGTGGAGTGCTGAAGCTCGAACCGCTTAAGGACCTGCTGCACCATGTGTGACTGTGAGAGTGTAATGGTGCGAGCAGCTCTGTCCCTGGTGATCTGCAGCCCAAGGTAATGGCGCAGCTCACCAAGGTCAGTGCACGTGTATCTGTTCTGCAGTTCGGACTTCACGTCTGCCAAAGCAATCCTGTCAGCAGTGGCGAAAACTAGGTCGTCGACGTAAACCAGAACGAAGAACGGTGTGGAGCCACGGCGAACGAACAGCGACGGGTCGGCAGAAGACGGCTGGAACCCATGGTCAGAGAGGGTAGAGCGGAGAGTTTCGTGCCACTCACGAGGGGCCTGGCGAAGGCCGTAGACAGGTCGCCTTAGCCTCCACTGGGTCCCAGGAGGGAAAGTGCCAGTGAAGGCAGAGGGACGACGCAGCCAGACCTCCTCGTGTAGGCTGCCCTGAAGAAAAGCAGTGGAGAAGTCGAGAAAGTGTAACTCGTAGTCTCTCTGTGCTGCTACGTGCAGTAACACCCAAAGAGTGGTCATCTTCGGGGTCGGCGAAGGTCTGAAAGAAGTCAACTCCCTCGCGCTGACTGAAACCTCTAGCAACATAGCGCGCCTTGAAGACCGGGGGAGATCTTGGTGGCCACTTCACCCTGTAGATCCACATGCCATCGACTACGTTCGTCCCAGGGGGAGGAACCTCATCGACGTAGGTGCCTGTGGATCTGTAGGAGGCCATCTCTGCGTCCATGGCAGCTCTCCACTGAGAGGCCCAAGGCCCTGACACTGCCTCAGCGTAAGTGCGAGGAGTCGGAATGTCAAGGGCGTCGGGGTCACCCTCAAGGGTGAGGAGCATGGCACAGAGATGAGGGGAAGCGGCTGCCAGGAACTCTAGCTCAAACTGCCTGTCCTCTAGGACGTCACAGCCAAGGGCAGACACATCCCTGACGGCCTGAGGACTAGTAGGAGGAGCAGCCACAAGAGTGGTGGCGTAGTCAAGGCGGCGAGTAGAGGCAAACTCAGTGACCGCGGCAGTAAGAGCGGAGACAGAGGACAAAGAGGCACGAGGGTGGGTAACAAGAGAGGCGAGAACACGAGAGAGAACAGGACGGTACGTGCGGTAGTAGTCAATGACAGGGGTAGAGAGAGAAGCTGTGAGGGCCGACTCAGGAGGAGAAGGAAGCACAGGAGGAGCCGAACGAGACGGACTAGAACGTAACAAGACAGCTCGAAGGTCAGTGAAAGGAACAGGGGAGGGACGAGCACGAGGAGAGCGACGAGTAGCCCAAGTACGAGACGGAGGAGGAGAGGACAAAGGCGGAGAACTGGGGAAAACAGCGGGGGAGGAGTCAGGAGGAGGAAACGTGGGACCGTAGACAGGAGGAGAGGCGGAGGAGGGAGGAGGAGAGGGGAGACCAAGGGTCCGAAGACCCGAGACAGGAGGAGGAAGTGGCTGCTGCTGCGGCTGGTGCTGCAGCTGCTGCGGCTGCGCCTGCTGCTGGGACTGCTGCTCCTGCGGCTCCAGCTGTTGCTGCTGCTGCTGCTGCTGCTGCTGCTGCTGCTGCTGCTGCTGCTGCTGCTGCTGCTGCTGCTGCTGCTGCTGCTGCTGCTGCTGCTGCTGCTGCTGCTGCTGCTGCTGCTCCTGCGGCTCCAGCTGCTGCTGCTGCTCCTCCAGCCGCTGTAACTCCCTCTCCTCTCTCTCCAACGCCAGCTGCTCCTCACGGGCACGGCGAACACGAGCCTGGTGCCTAGTCGGGTAGGGGTGGGGGGGCGGAGTAGTGTCCGGAGCAGCGGCAGCTCCAGATTCCACCCCCGAAGGACCAGGCGCACCACCCCCAGAGGCAGTACTAACACCAGCTCCAGACCCAGGCTCACCAGAACCCAAAGGAGGCGCACCCTCACCCCCACACGGAGCACCCCCAGTGTCCGCGCGACCAGCACCAGCTCCTGGAAGACAAGAGTCCTCTGCACCCACCGGCTCAGCTCCAACTCCAGCACCCCCAGAACCAGAAACCAGTACAGGAACAGGCTCGGCACCAACCTCTCGAGAGCTAGCACCTACGGCACTCTGCGAGGAGGACTGTGGGGAGGGAGGCTGTACCGGAGGGGCTACCGAAGGAGGAGGGCTAGCCTGGGACACACCTGACGGGGCTGGACCAGGGGGGGAGGCTGTACCGGGGGAGCAGGAGGGGGAGCGGCAGTCAGGAAGAGGGGGGGAGGAGGAACCGGGAGACCTCGACTGGGGTACCTGACGAAGTATGGGGTGGACTCCTCGAAACGGACGTCACGGGAGTCAAAGAACCGGTGAGAGGGAGGGTAGTAAAAGGTGAAGTCAGAGGAGTCCTCGGGGAAACCAAGGAAGACACAGGGAACGGCACGAGGCGAGAGCTTGTCTGCAGAAGTGTCGCGGACAAGAGCCAAGCAACCCCAAACACGAAACCTCGACGCAACACCAGGGGACCCGGTCCAAAGACTGGTCGGTGAAGCCTCTGGCCGAGAGACGCGTGGCCAGAGGTTCAGCTGACGAGCGGCGTAACAAACCGCGTAGGGCCACAGAAAATGGGGGCACGGGCGTGAGTCAAGGAGGTGCGGGCGATCTCCATGACCAAGCCTATGCGGCGCTCAGCAACCTCATTCTGCTGTGGGGACTCTGGAAGCATCCAGGACTGACGAATGCCCTGCTCGCGACAGAATCCAGCGAGAATGCCGGAGCGAAACTCACCCCTGCGGTCGGAGTGAAGACAGCTGACACGACGACCACGAGTGTCCGCGGTGGTGAGCAACCACCTGATCAGCGTAGAAGTCACCTCAGACTTCTTCGCCAGGGGGAACACCGTGGTGTAGCGGGAGTAGTCATCAACGACCACCAGAAAGAAACGCTCACGCTCAGGGCCAAGGCGAGAGGCGGGGCCCCAGACGTCCAGGTGAAGCGTCTCAAACGGCTCGGTGGCCGGACGAAGGGAGGAGGAGTGAGGGGTGGCGCGCAGCCGACCCTCGACGCAAGGACCGCACGGTGGTGCAAGGGACGGCGGCAGCGACGGCAAGACACGCGGGAGACCTAAGACCAGACGCTGACTAGAAATAGCACGCAGACGTGGAAGAGAAGGGTGTCCCATCCGGTGGTGCCACAGAACAGTGGGGTGGGCAAGTGACCGGCAGGAGCAAGACGCAGCGACTGGACTGGACGCGACTACCTGAGGGGACGAAACCACCTGGTGAGACGTAGGGAGGAGACTAGGGGGAGGGACAGGAACTGGGAGTAGGGGCTGCTGCGACGGCGGCTGCTGCGGCTGCTGCTGCTGCTGCGGCGGCGGCGACTGCTGCGGCTGCTGCTGCTGCTGCTGCTGCTGCGCGACCGCTGCCGTGCACGCGGGCCAGTGTGAAGAGTGTAGAGACCGGAGCCCGGCTCAGCAGCAAAGGTGGCCAGAGGCTGGTAAGAGTCCCCGTCAACACACACCGCAGTCTCCCCATAAGGCTCAAACCACACACCCACGTGCTGACTCACGAGGGGTCGCACGCCCACCAAGTTCCGGGAGAACGAGGGGACATGAAACCCAGTGAGAGACCCGGAGGGAGCAGCAGGACACGGCAAAGTGGTAGTGTGACGCGCAGTGACTGGTCCCGAGGTGGGATCAGCCAGCGCCACAGAGACAGGCGCAGGAAGTGGCGTAAGTGTCGTGCTGTCACAAAAGAAGCAGTGCGAGGCTCCAGAGTCCAGCGTGAAAGACAGTGAAGCGTCCTCAGAGGTAGCCGCTGGACTAGTGTCTACACAAGAACCTACACCAGCAACAGGCAACTGAGCAAGGCTAGCACCTAAGCTAACAACACCAGAGTAAACAGAGTCAGAAACACTAGAGTCAACAACAGCATACATAGCATGAGGAGTTCCAATCAGATCAGCTAACTGCTCGGCGGACATGTCCCACAGAGCGGAGCCGTAACGCTGAACAAGGGGAAACCAGTCAGGGGCAGGACCGCCAACCCCGTAAACCAAACGAACCGTGTCAGTGAGCTGAGCAAAACACTGACCAGGGGGGTGAAGGCGGCCACAAGGGTGGCCCCGGCGAGTACCTGTCAGAACCTGATAGGCGCAGGGAGGGTAAACAGCACCACGCTGCGGCTGACGCGGCCCCGACCCCGAAGCCAGCTGCGGCCGCTGCTGCTGCGGAGGCTGCTGGAGGAGAGGGGCTGCTGCTGCTGCTGCTGCTGCTGAAGCTGCTGCTGACGCTGGGCCCGGTACCACGCCGCTGCTCCACCCACCGGGGCTGGCAGTACAGGGGGCGACTGACGAACGCGGGCGTCGTCACCACCAGCAATCGCAGTGGAGTCACCGGTCGCTGCACGAGACGTCTCTCCAGGCCCTGCACTCCCACCACCGCCAGTCGCAACGCCACCCCCACTACCTCCGCCTCCACCAACGCCGCCGCCAGCACCGCCCCTCTTGCCACCCCTACCGAGGGACCGCGACGAAGTCGTAACAGCAGCTGCGGTCGCGTCAGTAGCGGCAGTGGCGAGAGAGGCAGTAAAGGTAGGCAACTGCGGGACTGTGCACCCGTGGAAGAGTGGGGGGGCACAGCACCAGAGGCAGCGGCCACGGAGCGGAGGTTGCTCTCGACGTCCTTGAGAGCTGACTCAAGGACGTCAACAGTGAGCTCACTAGGGTGCTTCAGGAGAAGCGCGTCACGAACCGAGGCAAGGCGGTCGGGGAGGCTAGTGGCGATAAAATAGATAGTAATCGCCATGGGAGGAGGAAGCAGTGAAAGCTGTGCCTCAGTGCAAGCAGCGCGGTAACTAGAGTCGAGCGAGCGGAGGTGAGCAATCAAGTCAGCAGAGCACTCAAATGAGGCGAGATCAGGGAACAGGAACGGAAGGAAAAGGCGGCCAAGAGAGACAGCAGCAGGAGTGGAGTAGCGGGCCTTAATCGCAGTCAGGTACTCAGCAGCAGTGCGAACCTGAGCAAAGTGAGCCTCCTCAGACTCAGGGAGGAGGGTACTGAGCGCGATGCAGGCCGCAGCGTCACGAGAGGTCCAAGCTGTCAAGTCAGCGCGCTGGCTAGCAAAGAGGGCTCTAGCGGCGTCGTCAGGGGCAGGGCCTAAAGGCGTAGGGTAGGGAGGCGCAGGGAGGGCACCAGTAGCGTGCGCCCAGGGGGTCTCGCCTGACTGGACCTGACTCTCTAACTGACGGCGAGCGCGCAGAAGCCAGAGCGAAAAGTCAAGGGGTCTACCTTCAGCGTCGAAGCGAAGAACACGCAGAGTCGCCATCGTTAAAACCGACGGAATAGCTTAGGCAGTAGGAAAACGAGGTGGCGTGGTAACACTCGGTGGCGTGGCGGCCAACGCGGCACGCAAGCACGCAGGGAGTAAGGGAGGCACGGGCGCAGCGGTCGAGCGGGCGAAGGGACGCGCAGGCGGGCGGATAGGCCTGGCGCGACGCGACGGGCGGGCGCTAAGGGCAGCCGCGCGGGGGACGGCGCGACGCGACGAGCAGCGGGGGGGGGGGGGGGCGACGCGAAGCGACGGGCAGCGGGCGGGCGACGCGGGGCGACGAGCAGCGGGCGGGGGGTCGACGCGACGCGACGGGCAGCGGGCGGGTGGCGCGACGCTACGGGCAGCGAGGGGGGGAGGGGGCGACGCGACGCGACGGGCAGCGGACGAGCAGCGGGGGGGGGGGGGGGGGGGGGGGGGGGGGGGGGGGGGGGGGAGTGGCGACGCGACGGGCAGCGGGGGGAAAGCGCGACGCGACAAGCAGCGAGGGGGGGCGACGCGACGCGACGGGCTGCGGGGGAGGGGGGGGGGGGGGGGGGGAACGCGACTCGACGGGCAAGGAGGGAGAACGCGACGCGACGATTAGAGAGGGAGAGCACGACGCGACGGACAGGGAGGGAGAGCGCGCAAGCTACACGGAAGGCGGGTCGGCGTAGCAGGCACTAACGAACGAGCGGAACGAGTGGAACGAGCGGAACGAGCGGAACGTGCGGAACAGGCTCGGGCGGAACGTACGTGAACGGGAGGAACGGGATCCTACAGGATCCTAACCTAGGTGATACCATGTCAGAACCACAAGTGTTGTTTCATTGATGGTGGTTGGGGTACAAGTAGCAAACCCTAACATACGTACCCCCTAAGACAAACCTCACTACAGGCTACCAACATTTGACAGGGGGGGGGGGGCCCAGAAGGCCTCTGATGAAGTAGTGGACGAAGTAGGACACGGACTCGACGAAAGTGACGTCACACTGGTGGAAAGGTGGGTGGTAGAACGTAAAGTCAAGGGTGTCTAAAGGAAACTAAGGAAGACACAAAGAATGGTGTGAGCCGAGGGCTTGTCCGCGTGAGTATCGCGGACATGCGAAAGGCAGCCTCTGGCCAGTAAAGTCTCTGGCTGTGAGAGCTAGGCCAGAGTTTTAGCTGGTGCGCACAGTTTTGGACCGAAAGGGGCCACAGAAAATAGGGCGCGCAGGCATGGGCCATGGCGGTACCTACATGTCATCATTTATTTCATATCGTTTATGAGCTGGTTCTATTGTCATTTCTTGTACATGCCATATCATTTATGTCGATCTGTACTTTTCGAGCTGGTGCTCAACAATCATGTAACGGGCCACCGCAACGGCTATGTGCGAAGACTGCAGGTCGTGTCGCGGTAGCGGAATTGTGTTACTTGTGCATGCACTGTGATAGCCGGCTGAGCTAGAGCAACCCCGCCTGCTGGTACCGCCTGACAGCCTTCCCGCCGCCTGCCTGACACTCAACCAAGGGGGAAACTGCTGGGCTGTCGAGCAAAACACTATGACACCCTGATAATGCCAGGGTATACATCAAGCCCATGCTCGAGCTTGGAATTTTCAATGACGATGGATGATGACGGTGGGATGCTGCTTGATCTAGGTTGGGGCTTGTAACTCGGACTCGAGAGAAACTATACCTCCAGGGGGACCCAGGGGGTCTGGGAGAAACAAGGAAGCTCCCAGAAATAGTCTCAGAGAGGAATATACTTATCAGGTTTCACTCGGACCCCATTTCAACTTTCGAATAACTGATCAGTGCACTGCACATACTGCTTGCTCGCAAGATCGTCGCGCGCTTCGATAAGCCGGCAGCTCGCGAAGCGCTTCGTCACGAACCGACAATTCACAACACCGCATTCCACCAGAGTTACAAATTGGCGGTCTACCGAATTAGAATCTTTCCAAGTACAAAGCTGCTACGACTTCAGCCATGGAGTTGTATTTTCGTAGCAGTCCCTTGTGCTGGGACCTCCATCTTCGCTATTCTCAACCAGCTGTCGCCACTCCGCAGCACCGTCACGCGAGCGTCACGGCGACAGCCCAGCCCGCAAGTCCCAGCGCGGTGCTGACGTGTCAGCCATGACCGTCCGTCATGCGACGGCGCTATTCGTAGCGGCCATGGCGGCTCTCCTCCTTTGCCCTGCAGCTCTGCCTGCGGCGGCAGCGGACGCGTCCGTCATGTTCCGCTCTTCCCGCCGCCTCACAACCTCCCCGAGCCTCGGCCTGTTCTCCCTCCCGCAATCGTGGTTTGGTGGCGGTGCGACCGCCAGCGCGCAGCACGAACGCTCGCTGGTAGAGAAGGCCGGCGGCGCAGGCCAATCATCCGCCAACGGCGGAAGTAACGGCGCAGTCCAATCATCCGCTAACGGCGGAAGTAACGGCGCAGTCCAATCGTCCGCTAACGGCGGAAGTAACGGCGCAGACCAATCATCCGCCAACGGCGGAGGAAGCGGCGGTCAATCATCCGCCAACGGCGGAGGTAGCGGCGGCGAATCATCCGCCAACGGCGGAGGTAGCGGAGGAAAACACCAAGGGTCCACCAGCGGCGCAGGCTCGGCCACCGACAACGGCACTGGTGCCGGCGGCGGTCAAGGACCTGCCTCAGGCGCAGCCGAAGCACCCACCAGCGGCGGAGAGACACACCGGCCCACCGGCGGCGGAGGCAACAACCAAGGAAACCCCGACACCAGCGCGGGCGGCGGGGTTAACAACCAAGGAAACCCCGACACCAGCGCGGGCGGCGGGGGTAACAACCCAGGAAACCCCGACTCTAACGCAGGCGGCGCCCACGGACCTGCTGACGCCGGCGGCGCTGGCGGCGCGGGCTCCGGCCAAGCATCCTCCGACACCGCCGGCAATGGCGCAAGCAGCGGTCAAGGACCTGCTTCCGACGCAGCTGAAGCACCCACCAGCGGCGGAGGCAGCGGAGGGACACACCGAGGGCACACCGGCGGCGCAGGCGGCGAAGTCACCGACCAAGGAACCCCCGAAACCGGCGCAGGCGGCGGCCAAGGATCCGCTGACGCCGGCGCTGGCGGTGCGGGCGCGGGAGGCGAAGGTCGTCCCAACTCCAGCGGCGGCGGAGGTGGCGCAGGCGGCACAGATCCTACCCGCGGCGGCGGCAAAGCACCCGCCGACACGGGCGGCCCAGGCGCGAACCAAGGGCACACCAACGCCGACCAGCCGGATGCCGCCGCGGCGCATGGCGGGGGAAATGATCGCGCGGAGCCAACGTCGGGAGTGCGCATGCGGGACTTGGTGGTGTGGCGGGCCGCCAAGTTCCAGCTCAAGTCGCGCGAAGCCCAGGCGCATATGGCGGCCGGCAAGACCAAGGCGGCCGAGGCGCACTCGCAGGCTTCGGCGCTGGAGGATGCGAAAGGCGTGGCTTGGACCAGTCTCGCGCGCAGTTGCGCGGATCAGGTGAGACTTCGACATTCAGTTCAGACTTGCTCGCGATTCTGCTCGTATACTATGGCAGTGGCAGTGCGTCGTTGTGCGCTACGGTATGATGTGATTTGTCACGGTGGGTCCTAACGCGAGCGCGGTGTGGTGCGGTGTGGTGTGGCAGATGGCTCTGGCATCGGAGATGCTAGAGGCGGCAGCGGGGATGGTGGAGAGCGGCGGCGAGGACGTGAATCTGCCGCGCATCCACCTCTCCAACGCCGTCACGCTCGCGCTCGACTGCGCCGAGGGCTTCGACCTCTTCGCGCCGGGCAGCTCCCGCGACCCGCGCGTCAAGGCGCTCCAGGTGCGCGCCTCTCCCTACTCGCTTGCCTGCAGGTGCGCGCCTCACAGGATCCCCCCCCCCCCCCCCCCCCCCCTGCTGCTGTTCCTTGATATGACGTCATATGATCGCTCTGCCATGGTCATCTATATTTCGTCTTTGGATAGCTCTTCCTGCCTTTCCCAAGTGCTGATTGTGAGGTACCCATGACACGCGGCTTTGGCGGTCGCATGTGTGTTTGGTGCGTGCAGGAAGCAGCGATGGAGACTCGCGCTGCAGTGATGGATGCGCTGGGGCAAGCAGCGGACATGGCGGCCATGATTGCAGCAGGCGACGACAGCTCTGCTGCCGCCGCTGCCGTGCCTTCGCCCTCGCCCACTCGCCGCCGCCTGCTGCAAGCCACCGGTGCGACCAACGGTGGTGGAGGCCCCACCGTCACGGGCGCAGGCACTGCCACTGCTGTCACAGTGGCCAACCCACACAACTCCATCCCCAACAATGCACATGGCAGAGGCAACACCAAGAAAAACAGTTCCACTGACTCGACTGACGCTTCCCCACCACCCTTGCTGCCAACCTCACTGCCTTCTCCCCCTCCCCCTTCGCCTCCCCCTCCCTCACCTCCTCCCTCCCCTCCTCCCCCTTCACCTCCCCCTCCTTCCCCCCCTCCGCCTTCGCCCCCCCCTCCCTCTCCCCCCCCCCTTCGCCTCCCCCTCCATCCCCTCCTCCCTCTCCCCCTCCCCCTTCGCCTCCCCCTCCTTCCCCCCCTCCTCCTTCGCCGCCCCCTCCTTCACCTCCTCCGTCTCCTCCTCCCCCTTCGCCTCCCCCTCCTTCCCCTCCTCCCCCTTCTCCTCCTCCTCCCTCCCCTCCTCCGTCTCCTCCTCCCCCTTCGCCTCCCCCTCCTTCCCCTCCTCCCCCTTCTCCTCCCCCTCCCTCCCCTCCTCCGTCTCCCCCTCCCCCGTCGCCTCCCCCTCCCTCCCCTCCTCCGTCTCCCCCTCCTCCATCGCCTCCCCCTCCCTCCCCTCCTCCCTCCCCCCCGCTTCCTCCCCCCTCCCCACCTACTTCACCTCCTCCATCCCCACCTCTCCCACCTCCCTCACCTCCTCCCTCCCCTCCCCCATCCCCACCCCCATCTCCACCGCCCCCTGCATCGCCCACACCGCGCATCACCCCCACAGTCACCGTGGCACAGGATGGTTCCGGGAACTTCAGCACCATGCAGGTGCGTGTGAGGGAGGGTGTGTGCGTATGCTTGCAGAAGGAGTTTCTTTTACACTTCAGATAACTACTGTGCTGTTCTCGCCTCTCACATTCCTGTGTGTGCCTTGTCTGTGCTCCCTGGGCGGAACAGGCTGCGATAACAGCGTACCCTCCGGGCTTCAAGGGGCGCTACGTGGTGTTCATCAAGCCGGGCTTTTACCGTGAGAAGGTGCTGGTCAACTCCACATGCAAGAATGTCACGTTCCTGGGGGTCAGTGCTGCCTCCACTGTCATCTCGTGGTACGACAATGCCACTGCTGGCACCGGCACGTACCAGACCCCCACTGTTGGTAAGTACTGACCACCTCTCCTCCCTGCCGCTGCCACGTCCTCTCCTCTCACTGTTTTCACTCATTTAAACTTCACTTCTTCCTGCATGCTCCTTCTCTCTCTGCCAACTTCCCCTGTCTCTCACCCTCTCAAACTTTCTCGATCCAATCCTCCCTCTCACTCTTCCCCTCTTCTATTTTCTGCAGCTGTGGAGGCGAGTGGCTTTGCAGCCATCGGCATTCGCTTTGAGAACACGGCAGGGAAGGCTGGGAACCAGGCAGTGGCATTCAGGCAGACGGGCGACAACGCAGCCTTCTATGAGTGCGAGTTCATTGGATGGCAGGACACACTCTACACTCACGGTGGGCGGCAGTACTACCGCAACTGCTATGTGAACGGTTCGGTGGACTTTGTCTTTGGCAACGGCGCGGCCGTGATGGACAACTGTACGATCAACATCCGCCCATACTCCAGCTCGACGGTCACGGCGTCAGGGCGCACCAACTACACGGAGAACACCGGCATCGTCATACTCAACTCAAATATACAGGGCGACCTTGTCAACAAGGCATACCTCGGACGCCCCTGGAAGCCCTATGCCCGAGTGGCTGTTATCAACACCACAATCAGCAATGTGGTACGTCCTCCTCCCCTTCCCTCCTTTCTGCTGTTTCCCATTCTGCTGTTTCCCCTCCCACCAGTCTTTTACCTGCTGTTTCCTTTCTGTCATGTTGCTGTTGTTGCACAGCCTCACCCCTCATCCCCACTCTGCGCTTGACTTTTGCTTGCCCTCCCCTCAGCTGAATACAAGTGGCTGGCTGGACTGGAATGGAGTAGTGTACAATACTTCTACATTCATCGAGCAGGGCAACAGTGGGCCGGGGTCAGTGGGGCCGCGCATAGCATGGGCACTGCCGGGCATCGTGACTGACCCTGCCCTGGTCTCCATGTACTACCCCAACAACTTCCTCACCCCCTTCTCCTCCATCGCCAACCTCATTCCCTTCTCCTGGCTCTAACGTCTCTCACCCTTCCACGCCATCGCGTCTCCTGTCCGTGATGCTCTTACGTTCAGCATCCAAAGCATCAGCAACCTCAGGCACCTCGTTTGAAAGAGACAAATCTGATTAGTAGTGTGTTTTGTGGTAGCTTAAGATTTGCCTGTCATGTTTTACAAAGTAGATTTCAATATATACCGTCACCCCCTGCATGTGCCACAAGGGACTTGGGGGTGCGCTTAAATGAGCCATATTCATATGACACCTCCATGCATTAAACACATTAAGCTTTGGAACATCAGCACAAGGCTTTTGTAAAGCAGAAATTTAAAATGTATGGCCGCTGTTACGTGAGATGCTGTGTAGCTTATTGTTAGAATTGTAGATTAAGTGCGGTAGTCCATGACTTAGGAGAGTGGTGAGAAATGCAAGATGAAAACCTAAAGCTACAGTACTCTCAAAGGAGTGCCCCACTACACCCTAGCATGTAACTGTCAAATGTTATAGCCTCTAGTGGGTTATGCTATATGGGGTACGAATAGTTAGGGTTAGGTATTTGTACCCCAACCTTGTCAATCCTATACTCATTTTCGTTGTTTTCAGTTTGTGAGATGGTATCAGCAGTAGGTTCGCCTTTCCTATGCCTCACCTAATCTCCGCCGTTCCTAGGCTTAGGCCGCCGCTTTCCTCCCCATCTGCTCTAAACGCCCTAGCCCACGCGCACGCCAGCGCGACACGCCAGCACGCACGCTAGCGCGCACGCCAGCGCGCCACACCAGCGCGCCACGGACGGCCCGCCCGCCAGCGCACCGTGCTGCCCGCCAGTCAACCCGCCCCGCGGCCCGCCCGCCAGCGTGCCGCGCCGCCCGCCCGTCGACCTGCCGCGCCGCCCGTCCGTCGACCCGCCACGTCGCCCGCAGACCAGCGCGTCGCGCCGCCCGCCCGTCGACCCGCCGCGCCGCCCGCCCGTCGACCTGCCGCGCCGCCCGCAGGAAAGCGCGTCGCGCCGCCCGCCCGTCGCCCCGCCGCACCGCCCGCCAGCCAGCACACCGCGCCGCTCCCCAGCCAGCGCGCCGCGCCGTCCGCCAGCTAGCGCGCCGCGCCGCCCGCCTGTCCGTATGCCGTCCCGCCTGCCCGCCTGCACGCTTGCCCACACGCCACTGACCGTCTTACCCTCCCGCGGCTAGCAGTCGCGCTCTCTTACTTTCGCCCCCTATGGCGACCTCCCGAGTACTTCGCTTTACCCCTGAGGGGAGACCCATTGACTTTAGTACGTGGCTTACGCAGGCGCAGCGCCACCTTAAGAGCCAGAGACAGGACGGCGTACAGCTGTTTGCCCACGCGTCCGGTACTCAGACCGCTCCTCCGCAGCCTCAACCCCTGCCCACTACCCCATCGCCTACTCCTGAACTGGAGGTCGAGTACCAGCGCCAGTTCCTTGCTCGCGACGTGTGGGAGTCTCGTGACGCCGCTGCCTGCCTCGCCCTGACCGACCTTCTCCCGCCGACAGAGGTGGTCCACTTCACTCAGGTCGAGTCTGCTGCAGACCTGGCTATTGTTGCTCGCTATTCCACTCCCTCCCCTGCCTCCCTTAGTCGCCTCCTCGTACCCTTAATCTATCCTGACCTCGCCTCCTTTGAGACTGTCTCCGACCTCGCTACCCACCTTCGCTCTCTTGACACTCGCTTTCGCGCTGCTTGCACTGAGGACTAGCTTGCTCTTGCCCCGCCCCCCATGTGGCTCACTATTCACTGGCTAGTCACTCGCCTCCTTGACCGCCTAGCCACATCCCGCGACGCGCTTCTTCTGAAGCACCCCACTGAGCTTACCATCGATCTTCTTGAGACTGCTCTCTCGAAGATCGAGAGTAACCTCCTCACTATTGCCTCTGCCTCTTCCGCGCCTCCTCCTCGTCTTTTCGAGGGGTGTGCGGTACCACAGCTTCCCACCTTCACTGCCTCACTTGCCACCCCCACGTCTTCTGCCTTTGAGGAGATGGCGGCTGTTTCTGTCTCTAGCAGACAGAAACGTGGCAAGGCCGGTAAGAAGGGCGGGGAGGGCGGCGGGGGTACTGGAGGTGGTGCGGGTAATGGCGGTGGCGGTGGAGCAGGTGGTGGGAGCGGTGGTGGGGGTGGCTCTGGACCTGACGGCCCTCCTTTCGACGGTGGAGGTTTCACTGGTGGTGAGGGGTTCCAGCAGCAGCAACAGCCGGCTTCTCAGCAGCTGCCACCGCCTGGACAGCAGCAGCGGCAGGGACAGCAGCAGCAGTGACAGGGCCAGCAGCAGCGCCCGCCACAGCAGCAGCTTCAGCAGTGGGGACCTCAGCAGCAGTGGAGGTCTCCGGGTCCCCCGAGCACTGGGCGCATTGGCGCCCCCTCCATTCAGGGACCTAGCTCGGCTGGCCGCGACGTTGGTCCCTGTGAGTACTGGATCCTTACGGGTCCACGTAGGGACTCGTACTGCGGCCGCCCTGACCACTCTGCTGCTCGTTGCTTCAGTCGTCTCGACGACCTCTACCTCTTCCACCACGGCCCTCGTCAGGTTCCTCCGTCCCACCAGGTAGCCGGGTCCAGTCAGGTTGCTCTGTCAGGTGTAGTTGCTGCGTCGTGCTCGTGTCGGTCGCTTGCCCACCCCTCCCTACTCTGGCACCACCGCCTTGGTCACCCTTCCCTCCCTCGTCTCCGCGCTATGTCCAGTCAGCGTCTTGTCTTAGGCCTCCCCCGAGTCCTCCCGCCACTCCCGCCGTCCCCAGCTCCTCCGTGCGGTCCTTGTGTCCAGGGTCGGCTGCGCGCCACCCCTCACTCCTCCTCCCTTCGTCCGGCCACTGAGCTCTTTGAGACACTCCACTTAGACGTCTGGGGCCCCGCTCCCCGCCTTGGCCCTGAGCGGGAGAGTTTCTTTCTGGTGGTCGTTGACGATTACTCTCGGTACACCACCGTGTTTCCTTTGGCGAAGAAGTCCAACGTGACTTCTTCGCTCTACAACGGTAGTGAGCTAGACTACGGGGTAGGCACGAACTACCATGAGTGATCGTAGCTTTGCTTAGTTCCTTAGCGCTTGCGCATACACGGGAGAAATCAGCAAGAATTTCATAAGGCAAAGTTGAGAATTACAGAATGATACAGTTCATAATGACAATAATGACTACATAAAGCACCTAGCAACTCTGCAGCTAGCCCGGTCGACCGCCAGCATTGCATGGTCGACCGCGTGCCAGCGTTGCGTAGAGGAGCCGCGCAAGCATTGCAGAAGAGCGACCTGAGAACACTGCAGGTCGACGGCGTGCCAACGCTGCAACAGAGCCCGTAAGGCGTTGCCTCGTAGAAGACAGCAGTGCGCGCGCTCGCAAGTGCGTGCAGACGATTGGCCCGACTTGTATTGCTGTGCATCCGTCGGCTGTTGTCTGCGCCTGACGAGCCACATCGACTTCGGGATGCCACCCCGATGTCGCCTTCGCCATCGCGACCTCGACAACGTTCGCGTGCCTCTGCAGAACTCGTCGAGCAGGTTACCCGGTCAACCTGGACACCACCAGGTGCTTCTGGTCGACCACCACTGCCTCTGGTCGACCATCAGGTCCCTCTGATCGGCCACCAGGTCCCTCTGGTCGGCCACAGCTACCCCTGGGTCGACCACAGCTACCCCCTGGTCGACGGACCCACTTCCGTCGACCAGAACCGTCAGCGGTCGTCGCCGAGATCCCCTCGTCGACCGCTGCTCACTTGCTAGGTCGACGGTTGCTCCGTCGACCTCCCCGGTCGAGCTGTAGGTCGACCGGCAGCTCCGTAGACCTCCCGGTCGGGCTGTAGGTCGACGGACTGCTCCGTCGACCTTCCGGCCGAACTGCCTCTCCTGGTCGACGGCCCACCCGTCACCCAGACCAGTCAGCTTCGCCCGTCGAGCACCCCTGGTCGACGGGAACCCCACAGTGACACCCTGCAGCTCGACGAAGCCCGTCGAGCAGCTCCTTCACTGCGAACAGTCGTCTGCTTCTTCCGTTCATCCAACCAAGTTGTCGGCGTTGCCCAAGCGAGGGTGGGGCAAACACTCCACTCCCGTTAACATACACCACCGTGTTTCCTTTGGCGAAGAAGTCCAACGTGACTTCTAAGCTGATCCGGTGGCTGCTCGCCACCGAGGGCACTCGCGGTCGTCGTGTCCGTTGTCTCCACTCCGACTGTGGGGGTGAGTTTTGGTTCGGCATTCTCGCCAGATTCTGTGCCGAGCAGGGCATCACCCTATCCTGGACTCTTCCAGACTCTCCACAGCAGAATGGGGTTGCTGAGCGCCGCTTAGGACTGGTCATGGAGATCGCCCGCACCTCCATGATCCACGCCCGCACGCCCCATTTTCTGTGGCCCTACGCGGCTTGGTACGCCGCTCACCAGTTGAACCTCTGGCCTTGCGTTTCTCGGCCAGGGGCTTCACAAACCAGTCTTTGGACAGGGTCCCCTCGTGTTGCGTCGAGGTTTAGTGTCTGGGGTTGCTTGGCTCTTGTCCGCGACACCTCTGCGGACAAGTTCTTACCTCATGCCGTCCCCTTTGTCTTTCTTGGTTTCCCAGAGGACTCCTCTGACTTCACCTTTTACCACCCTCCCTCCCACCGGTTTTTTGACTCTCGTGACGTCCGTTTTGACGAGTCCGTCCCCTACTGCGTCAGGTACCCCTGTCGAGGTCTAACGGCTCCCCCCCCTCCCCTCTTCCTGGCTCCAGATCCTCCTCCTCCCGCCCCTGCTCCTCCGGTACCCCCACCATTCCCGCTCCGTCTGGTGTGTCCCACGCTACTCCCCACCCCCTCGGTACCCCCCCAGGTCTCTCCTCCTTCCCCACAATCGTCCTCACAGCCTCCGCAGCAGCCGTTAGTGCTTCCTTTACCGGCCACTGCGGACTCTGAGGGTGTTGGTGCTCGAGGTGAGGGCTCTGGCGGTGCTCGCTCTGGGGGTGCTGGCGTTGGAGCTGTTCGTGCACCTACAGGAGCCACCCGTTCTGGGGGTGCTGGCGTTGGCGCTGACAGTGCACCT